CTGTTACTTTTTTAATAGATACATATACAATATTTGCATGACAGTTTTACAGATCTTTCAAGAAGAAATGGACTAGAAGTACTATAACAGACAAAGGGACAAATAATATACAAATTGTACAAAATATAAACACATATATATAATATATATGCTTATAGATGTGTACATATATACATATATATATATATATATATATATATATATATATATATATATATATATATATATATATATATATATATATATATATATATGTATATAATGTGTATATATATATAATATATATAATGTATATATATAAAATATACAAAATACAACCACATATATATATGTATATATGTATACATGTGTGTGTGTGTGTGTGTGTGTGTGTGTGTGTGTGTGTGTGTGTGTGTGTGTGTGTGTGTGTGTGTGTGTGTGTGTGTGTAAGTATATGTGTATATAAACAAATTAGTAAGTAAGTATGTGTTTATAAACACATTAGTATGTAAGTTTATACATATATGCACATGAGTATTTAGAAACAGTTAAATATGAACAGAAATGTGGATGAAATCATATCCTGCCAACTTTTCCTTCCATCCCTATTACCTTCTTGCTCAGCACCTAAAAAAGGAGATATTAGTAGGTATTTCATGAAAACAAGTAAATTTCTGTAGAGGAAAGAAGAAATGAGAGTAATTACCAAATGATTTATCTAAAGAGAAATATATCAAGAAAATTACTATTTTTAATATCGCAGACAGATGCATATTCTTGAGCAATTGTTGACGTCTTTATCCACTGCTACCAGCTACATGCACTTCGACTGAAGTTTTCTTTAATGAATATCTTTTCCACACAGATGGCTCCATAAGTGCTAAGCCACCAAACAGCCTATATGACCTTACCTGATTTTCTCTTTCCGAGTTTTCAAGAAAAATATTTCTCTTCACATATCTTTGTTCTACATTCCATCTATTTCAGCTTCTTTTGCCCCACAGTTTCCCTGATGAGCATTATGCTCTCCCCTACTATTGGAACAAATAAATTAAGATTGCTGGAAATACACTTCTTATTGCACGTATCAAAAACTGCTATATATCTACAATACATCTATAATTCTAAAAGGACATCATACTTTCAAAGGAAAAGTAGGTACAATGGTCTTAGAAACCTAATGTATTACAGTGCAAGACCTCAAAACTAATTCACAATACTGAGATAATGAAATACATTCATTACAAGAAAACACCATAAAACACAATAAGAACAACTGTTTCTACCATACTGTCGCTCCATAAATATTCAAAGACCCAATTTGCCATACTGAAACACTATAAAAACACCATTCATTACACAAACATCGAAACGCTAGAAGATCAACTGATTCTACCTGAACATCGTATATCCAAATTTACCAAACTACAAAAAAAAAACACAAATCACCAAAGAACCCCCTAACTACACTGACACGCCTTAAAAGAACTATCCACATTCCCAAAACATCATTCAACACAACCGACTCCTTACCTTCCTTACAAACCTAGACTCCCCATCTCCACAAATCACCAAATCACAAAACAATAAATAAACAAATCCACAATTCACCAAAGACCCTAAATACGACCCCGAAACGCCATAAAATGATATTCGTCTTCCCAAAACATCAAATAACACAAGCCACTCCTTACACTCCTTACACACCTAGACTCACGATCTCCAAGACAGGGTGGGGCACGTACACAAAAAACAACTTCACGGCCCGGTAACCTCCGCTTCCAAAGGTATTTCCACTTCCTAAGCTTACTCAATGCCCCCTTTCATTCTCATTTCGACGATAAGAAGCTCACCTCTCGTGTAATTAGCAGGTTAAACAAGGGGGCGACGTCTCACTTGCCATCTTCTGTGTTTACATTCCCAGGTCGCTTACGGAACTAACACCGAGCGAGTCAGACTTTTTAATCGATTCTACAGGTTTGGATAATTCCCTTAATCATGTGGGTAAAACACAGATAAAAAAGGTATATCTGTGTGCGTACGTTTATAGGTACATGGCTGCATAAACATATAATTATATTTTCGTATTGTATATATAGCATCATAACCGAGTGGGTCAAACTTTTTAATCGATTCTACAGGTTTGGATAATTCCCTTAATCATATAGGTTACAGTCATAGACCAAAAAATATATATCTATGCGTGTGCATTACTACACAAACATACATTTTTATTTTCGTAGTTTATATATATAATATCATAATAGACCGTGCCAAACTTTTTAATCGATTCTACAGGTATGGATAACCGCCTCAATCATATGGGTTAATAAGAACTATATTTCTATGTAGAATCATGCATAAATGTATGTTTTCATTTCTTAACTTTTGGTATAGTTTTATAAACGAATGAGTCTTTTATCGATTCCACGAGTTTGGATAATTCCCCTATTAACATGGACGCAGATGTATAAAAAGTGACACATGTGTTCGTAGCCTAATATCCATACTTATTTCTGTA